GACGTTTCTTGATTCGCTCTTCGAGGGTTGAGCGAGTCCTCGTGACACGAACCCATTCGTTCGTTTCTGCCTTGGAGGAGGAGTTGGTTGTTCGCCGTTGTTGCCACTGGCGCTGTCTGGACTTTAGATCCTCATTGTAGCGGATCTCGTCCATCGATTCTGCGGCCTTGGCCAACTGTCGCGCAAGCGTTGACGCCGTCTTTGGCACGCCCTCTTCGACAAGGTTGGAACACCTTCAGCAGTTGACTTTGCGGCGGAAGGGAGATCTGGATCTGCAGCTTCGACCACGTTAGACGCCATAGGAGCGTCGCGGGGAGTAGGTGCAATAGCGGCGAGGGATCTTGGATCTTCGATCCTGAGGCCCCGCGAGCACTCTTGGAAGAGGAAGTGTTCCTACGCCTTGTTTGGAGAGGCAGATCTGGAGGAGGAGGAGGAGACATACTCCTCGAACTTCTGCTGGTCGAACTCGTATTCGACCTCTTCGAGCACCGGGATCTTGATCGTGGGCTGCGGCACGACAGCTCCGGCAGCGAGGCCGTTGGCTCCCACTGTGGTCGCCAGTTTGTTTTCGTCGAAAGTTGCCTTCATCATTGATTTCATTAAACTTCAAACGTTACAAATGAATTCAAACAACAAAGAAATAAAAATTACAACTTTCTTGAAAATAAACACAAGATCCGTTCGTCGTCTCTTGCTTGCATGGGTCTTTAGCCTGTGACGGGGACGTCGATATCCGTGGACTACCTGGCAATCAGATCTGATCTAGAGCTTCGTCGATCCGCGAGGAGATCTAGAAACTTAAAGCGCCTATCTCGATAAAAGAGAGATATTTGCTCTTCTTAGTATTACCACAACGGGATAATACTAAGGATCGGGTACGGGTGATTTAGATCTGACAAAGAAACTCTCTTGTGTTGAAGTGCTCGATCACTCTTCACTCCGGCAGGGCTTCGCCAATTCTCCAAAACTCCAGATCTGAAAAAATGAGGCCTAAGGCTTGTATTTATAGGCTTGAGGGGTTGCGGAGCGGTTAAAACCACCTAAAGGGCCCAAATCCGCGTTGGAGACACCCTAGGGTGTCTCCCAAAATCCGAGAGACCCTAGTGTGTCTCACAAAATCCGAGACACCCTAGGGTGTCTCCCAAAATCCGAGACAGTTTGTACCCCTTCAGTATTTTGGTTCTAATTCTTTCATCCGAACTCGGATTTGAATGATTCAAGATGTATTGGAAAGCTGACAAAGAGAGCTACAACTTTCATGTTTTAAGTTGCTTTATATTCTAACAGGATCATGGTCAAAATAGCTTCACAAGTTCCGAGACACCTTTGGGTGTCTCGGCACTATTTTCGTCATAACTTCCTCATATGACCTCCAAATGACGTGATTCCAGATGGATTGGAAATCTGACAAAAATATCTACAACTTTCCTGTTTTAAGTTTCTTCAGATTCTAACGGGATCATGGTCAAAACAGCTTCACAAGTTCTGAGATACCTTTGGGTGTCTCCAACTTGTGTGGACACCCTGGGGTGTCTCCAACTTGTGCGGACACCCTAGGGTGTCTCAAACTGGGCCGAGACACTCCGTTATGCCTATTTGTCCGCTTCCGCTGTAAATTCTTCGTCCGAACTCGGATTTGAGTGATTCCAAGTGCGTTGGAAAGCCGACGAGGAGTTCTATAAGCTCCAATGATTAGATCATCTGTGGAATCAACTGAGACACGAGGGGCGTGGCACCTTTTGTAGGCGACGCGGGGCTCTCGATCAATTCGTATCCTCGTTATTTTGAAACTCCGACGCTTCACGTAGTTCGTTGATTCACTTCAAGCATTTGCCAACGTCAATCGAGCTTCTGTGAACCGGATAGTGACGTTCATCGTCGTTCTTTAACACTGAGCTGTTTGTGGAGACCTATAGGCAATTTTCGATGCCTACAAGCACAAGCAAGTTCATCACTAGATAAATCATTAGTGGTTTTAAACTCGCAAACCTCACTAGGGCTATTGCCTAGTGGCCGTGTGCATGATGCTCCATATGAACTTGAAGACGGATCCTCCAAGGCTTGTCGTATCGCCTCTAAGTCCCATTGATGTGGTTCAATAAATTTTCATAAGGTGTAAGCACTATCAAAATGAACAAACTTGTTAGAGAGAGATGAGTTAAAAGCATTTAGCAAATATTCTAACAAAATATTATTCATGGTAATCATTCTATGATCATCTTTACTCTACTTGGATTTCTCCAAGGTGGGTACAATATAAGCACAATCTATAATTTTCCATAATTCAAAAGGTTTAGATCTAACAAATAGCTTAAATATAACACGTCATTGGGCATAGGAAAAATTATCTAAACAAGGAGCAACATTCATCGCATAACCTAAACAAGGTGCATCGTTCATATCCATAATGTATATATGCAAGCAAGATACAAAAATCAAAAATTAGATTAGCACAAAAAGATAACTTAGATATTTAACTTAGGGTGATTAGACCTTAAATCAAAGAGCATCAAGCTCTGATACTAATTGTTAGACCCTAGAGGGGGGGGGGGATTAGGGTCTTATGCTAATCTAATCCGATTTTATGCCAATTAAAACTAATTAAAATATGCAATATGAACAAAGAGATATATCCTAGCAAAGAGGTATATGATGAAATATATGCAAGGATATATAAACTAACACAAGGGTGACATAATCAAACTACAAATGTGATAGGGTAAAATATACAAGAGTAAAGGTAATTGGCGATATAAGATAAATGCATAAGCAAATGCGCTAAAGACAAACTCAAACACACTCAATTGATCACGGAGTTTGGACCTTCCGTCCTACGTCTCCGCTCCCTACTCCTGGGGAGAAATCCACTATCACAATCGGGTTTTTTACGCTCACCCAAATAACGTTTACACCTCACAATGTCGATTTTCAACGCTCACCGATCAACGTTCACAAACACTCACAATGTCGATTTTCAACGTTCACTGATCAACGTCTACACTCCTCACACTCGGTTCTCTAGCTCACCAAAAACTTTACAATCTCACAATATAACAAATGATTTAATCTCTACAATAGATGAGAACTCAATGTAAGCTCACTCTTAATTGTTACAACTCTCACCAACCTAATTATACTATGTATGAAAATACAATAAGCTCAATGTGAGTGTGTGTAACAAAGAGGTAAATCAAATCTAAACTCAATACAAAACTAGCTTTAATAAAATGATAAACAAGCAAATAGATATAAAGTTAGAAAATAAAGTTTAGAAATCTTCTCAATAGATCAAGAGATTGAAGGAGGATGGTTGGATGCTCAAGCACTAATAGGATCTCCTCAAGCTCTTGTGAAATTGATTTTACAAACTCAAAACTCTCAATTGCTTAAAAGCTTCTTAAACATTCTTTTAAACAAACACTAAACAAGTTTAAATCCTTGTTAAACTCTTTTAAAACATTCTCTTGGGTTATTGAAGAACTGAGATCAAAGGGGTATATATAGCCTCCCAAAACCTCAGCCAAAAACCCCAAACAAAAAACCAAAAAACCCACGGAATCCAAAATCAGATTCTGTACAAAATAGCCGTTGGAGGCGGGGGAGCCACTTTCAAAGCTGAGAATTATCCAGAGACTTTGGCGGTCGACCGTGAGAAAATTTGAGCTGACGGTCAACCGTGGCGGTCGACCGTGAAAGTTTCTATTTGACTCCGCAAGTAAAAACTCAGGTGCGGTCGCGGCGGTCGACCGCGAACTGATACATGAATAGAACAGTTTGAAAGTTGTTTATCTGATTTTAAAACCATGTTTAAAAATATCAAACAAATTCTAAAAAAATGTAAAACTTTGGGAAATGATTGTAGACATGATAATACACATGCTACAAAAACTGGTTTTTAGAAAGGACTTTCCAAATGTAAAATATCATCATTTTGTAAGGAGGTCAAAAACATAGAAATGTAAACATATGAATTTCGATATTTTGCCTAAACCATATTTTGAAACTTTACAAAATGATTTTATAGACTTGAAGAAAGATGTAAACTATTGTTATGAAGTCTATAAATATTGAATGTAGTATTTTATTATTTTATTAAAATACACATATAATGCACTAAAACATGATTTCATTGAACTAAATAAAATTGATATTGATGAAATCATATATATGCAAATAAGTATAAAACAAAAATATATTTTCTAATTATATTAAATTGTTTCATATTAAAACTTAAAAACTATCAAACCAAAATATATATGTATATATATATATATATATATAACTATATATATACAAAACCAAAACGTGTATGTGTGTATATGATTGAGCTTAAAGTACAAACACACATAACATAAAACCTAAACTAAATGTTACCCAAGCTTGATCTTGATCTTCATTGTAGCTCAACTTGGTAGACTTGGATGAAGCTTGTAATTAGATCTTTAACTTGATAGCAAGACTTCACTCAACTATTCCGCCAACCTCCATTGGATATGATCATGAAAGCTTGATTCCATCCATCCTCCAACACGTTGTTTGCCTAGAATAAATACGAAAACACAAATACTAGACAAATAACATTAGGAGCAAATTGTTTGTTAAACATCATCAAAACAAGAATGCCAACAGGAAGGTCTGAACTTCGTGATCATATTGCTTATTTGAGTTTGGCTTGGCGCACTTATATTTTTGTTCATCTTTATTGTCTTTCTCTCATTGCATATTTTATCGACTATATTGTTTATATCTTGTTTCACCATTGTGTTAGTTTCTTATCATTGCATATATATTTCATTGCATATCTTATTTGCAAGAATATTTGTTAATTAGTTTTATTTGGCATTAAATCAGATAAGATTAGCATAAACCCTATTCACCCCACTCCCCCCTCTAGGGTGCTTTCACTTCCAAATGCCCAAAAGAACAATAATGAAAGTTACTAGCAAAACAAAACTTTATAACAAATGCATCATGATATCAAAGTTTACAAATAAAACTAATCAGGTGACCCATGTCTTATTGACTGAACTGCAAGTTAACCATAATCATTTGTATACCAACATGAAAAACTAAACAATTAAAAGCTATGTCATCCTAAGTCCCGTCGTTAACTCTGAGATGCTCTTATCCTATCAGTATTTTACATATGTAATCATTGTACTTGATACTATGCACGGAATTTGGACCTAATCCCTAATAATTCAATTGGTTTCTAGTTTAGTTACATAAAAAAAACTATATCACTAGTCATGCTATCTTTTGTCATAATTTGATATGATTTGTAAATTATTTCTCACTGAAAAAATCAAATAACTGTACATTTGTTATGACTGGATGATAATTAAAACACAAGAAAGTACAAGAAATTAATAACAAAGAGCATTGCTTACTATAGTTTTAGTCCCAATTTAGTAATCACGAGTTGGGAAAAAGGAGATCAGTATCGAGGAAGGCGTCGAGGTTGATCTTGGTGAAGGAGAGGGACTTTAGGCGGAGGAAAGAGCGGACGGTAGCAGATTCATGGCAGCCAGAGCGGGAGAAGGAGGAGATGCGGCCGCAGGGGAGGGCCTGGGGTTGACGACGACGGTGAGACCAGAGATGTGGAACTCGGTGATGGTGATGGCGGGAGAGTGGGGAAGAGTGAGGAGAGCTGCCTCGCGAGGAACATGATGACAGCAGAGGCG